CTCATGCCAGCTTGTTAATAGACCATACAATTAATTGGACATGGAAGGGAAGCAGGGTCAGGGCATGTGGGGTGGTGGAATTGAGACGAACAGGAGTGTGGTGTAGTCCTTTGCATTTGGAGATGAGCAAGAATTCGTGGTGGCTGAGGACACTTCCTTGCTATAAGCATCCGCCATCGGGGAAATCAGCGGACAGTGTGAATGCTAACGAGCAGCATGTGGGGAAGTGTTGGTGGGGGGTGGGTGGGAATATCCCAGAGATCAGAGATGGGACCTCGGCCAGCGATGCTCAAAGTGGTTAAGGATGAGCCATGGCACAACAGGAACCAGCACAACTTCATGCCTGACCTTCCTGGACCAGAAGTGTCCTCCCTGCTAGGAAGCAAAGACTAGGGCATAGTACTCCTGTTCTGCTGGGACAGGAGTTGGAGACAACCATACAGGGTAAAAGCTCTGATCTTGCTGGTTCTTCACTAAGCCCCAGTATCCACACCCAGTATGGGGTGACTACTGTCTTGCCTGTGACAGCACCTAAATCCTAAACGACAGCTATTACAAAAAAATTTCTTCAAATACACTTTTCATAGTGCTGCAGATTTTTACATTCTTGTCAGAGATTCACAGATTTGAAAATCAGGAAAGGATACATGTGGGAACTAATCTTCTACAGACAGTAACATTTCATTGTGTTAATATATTACTGACATTCAAGCCAGGTAGCGTTACAGGGTCAAAACCACTTCAAAGAGCACGTGCTTTCTGCCATCTCACCAAACCCATCATAAAACTCTGAAGCCAATGCAGGCGGAACAGTGAGCCAGGTAACAGGCTGTGGCTGAAGCAATTCAGGTAGAGGCATACAGAAATGCCAAGATGAGACCACAGAATTTCACTCCCTTTAGCCAAAAACATTCCATGTACAGTGCAACCTCACTGGCCAGAAATCCTTTACTGTACTTGAATTTTCATTTTACTACAAATGAACACCACCAGTACTGGACTTGCTCCTTCTGGGGCAAATTACATTTCACAGGAAGGTGAAGGCTAACCTACTTTTACAACATGAAACAAACCAGGCCATGGAGGTCTTTGCAGCCCTCAGCACCGGCACAGTCATACGCCTGGATGCCCAAATCCAAACTGCCCACTGAGACCTGCCCCTGCTCCACACTGCTGCCTCAAACTGTGTCAAGGATAGCTGTGCAGTTTTGGACTGGGCTAATTATCAGTGATGACACTAATTAATTGAATAATGTGGACAACTATGTCCCAGTTTGCAGATTCAAACCATGGGCCTCTAGTTTAACAGAAAGAAAGTTGCGCAACTCTTGTTTAAGTCGTTATTTATTTTACTCCCCATGTCATCTCTTGTGACTCGTGGGTTTGCTTTTGGTGGCACTGCCCAGTACCTTCAAACTCTGATGTGACAGGATGTGCCAGACACCACCAAAACTTTACCCACCTTTCACATCAAAGCAAATTTTGCTCTTGATTGATTTCATAGATTCTCCTAAGAAATCCTTAAGTCTGTTTCTTGGTATGCTTTATTACTGCTGCCTTTCTTCGTGAGGACAAATTACTGAAAATTATTTTGTAGCTGGTTTTAGAGCAAAGACAATTAGAGAAAGGACTTAATGGAAATAGGTGTTAATCCAGTAACCCACAGCTAAGAGAAATGCCTTCAGTCCAGTCAACACAGAGAGTTTGCAAGAGACTGTACCTTTCAGAAAATCCCTCAGAATTTAATACCTGATGCTCCATGATTTCACTACTGTGCAAATCTCCATAAACCCCAATCTCTGAATTTCCACTCTGGAAAATTTTCCAATACTTACATCCCCTACAAGTTTTTTAAACTGAATCCTGTAAAAATATGTTAGATAGAAGCAAACCTATTCCTCAACAGCAAAAAGGCTGCCAGCTACGCTCTTTCAATGAAAAGCCTTGGGGAGGGGACTAAAAGGTCTTTCTCCTTTGTAATATACCACTCTTTTTCTAGAAAAGAAGAGGAAAGTTTTAAGTTCTAATTCATAAGTGCTTTAAAGGTTTTCTCTAGTTTGTGAAATTCGGAGCAGTAATTGCATCAGAGCAGCAGCTGATTACTTCCACGTTTATTGGCCAGAATAACATAGCTACTCATTTAGACAAATTCGCAGAAGTCAATTTTAGTGCTGCCTCACAGCACCCATAGTCGTTAGCCAACAGTTCTAGAAAATATTCTCATTTACCTGAGGTTTCACAAGTAAGACTGTAGATTTACATACAGTACATTTTGCATATATGTATCAAAATTCCTGCAGGAGAAGTAAATTACAAACAACAGTACAAAACCACTTGAAGCCAGCTTTTGTTCAACAAGAACATATGTGTGTGAATTCTACAGTTTTATTTTTGCATTACTCTTACAGTAAGTAAACTATTTAGTTTATACAAAATAAACCTGGAGTTTTATATCATTAAAAAAATCATCTCAGGCTAAACAAAACCTCTCTATTTTTATACATATATGTATATATTTATATATATATGTACACATAAAAGATATTTTACATACCACATAATGAACCTGTACACATACTTACAACAAACAGAACATTAAAAAAAGTTTCATAATTTACAAAAAAGGAATCCAAGTTGGAACCAAAACAGTCAACCCCCCCCCCCACCATCACCTGTACAGATCAGGAAGTAAATAAACATAGACAAGAAATAAACAACTTTGTAATAAAAAACCTGCCTGCTTCTTTGAGACAGAGAGGAAGCACTTAAGTGGAGAGCAGCTACTTCTCCCAGTACCGCGCACGTTTTGATCTCCGAGGATATGGTTAAAAGAGGCCTCTTCGCAGAGCCTGATTTTGCCACAAACACGAATGCTGCTCTGCAACCAACTGTTCTGAGAACAGAGTCCGTGAGATTTTAAACCTCCAATTGGTAAACAACTGTCACAGATGTTTGTCAGGAACAAGCATGGGCAGCTACACCAATCCCTCACCAAAACCACGAGGCGCTGCTGGCGTAGCGTGGAAGATGACCCTTGAGCGTCAAAGGAAAACATTTCAGGAGGAAGCATGTAAGGACGGACGGCTGCTAGAGATGACACGAGCACCTACCCAAGCGTTTCCAAAGCCCTGCCTAAAACAAGGACGATGTCCCATTTGGCACCACGACAATCCATTCCATAGGTCACGTCTGCAATACTCCAAAGGTGTCAGTGGCAACATCACTGACAAATTATCTGATGGTTTATTAGAAGTCTGTCCCCTTAGCTGGAGAGGGAGCAAAAAGCCATTAACATGCTGAAATGGAAGAAGCAGTCACTGGATTCTGAAGAAAAGCCAATTTAATCCAAGTTGAAAGGTAATGCACTTAGGTGGGGCTCTTAAATAAAGTCTAACTAAACAGCGGATGTTTTGGCTGAATAAAGACCACAGCAATTCCAACCCTCAGTAAAGAATAAAACCTTGAACATTAGCAAATTCCTAATACAAAAACCTGTTTGATTTCAGGAATGTTTCTGAAGTGGAAGAAGAAAAAGAAGCTTTTCAGAAATTTGGGATAAAGCAGCAGTATATATGAGATGTGTGTATACATATATATACACACATACACACACACATACACTTTTAGTATGTACTAGTAAAACTGGAAGCAGTTATAAGAGTTCTTTAAAATAGAACGTAATGAATTTCTAATGTACTAAACAATTTGTAAAGACAGATAAAACTGCTGTCAAAACATGACAAGTTGACAAGCTTTTGAAATTGCTTGTTTTTACAGAAAAGTTTTTCTCCCTATCAGTAAGTATAAAGTCACATTTTATAAAACTGTAAAGGTCTGTTTCTAAATTAATTTTAAAAAGAAAATCACTTGTCGATTTTTCATTTTTTTAAACAAAACAGAATGTTCATTATGTTGACGACCTATATTAAGTATCCACGCGTAATTTGGAGCAGAAAAACATAAGCCTATTCCAAAGGAAAAAAAAATAATTGAAAAAAATTCCAATGCACTTTTCATGGATCGCCCCCTATTCAAAATTCATTACTAAGTCTTTTTAAATATCAGAAGAACTGCAAGAACGTTCTTTGTAAATGAATATTCATTATGGCATGTCACAATTTAAAAGAAACTAAAAAAATGGTCACTGCATTAATGACTGGCTTCACTCTCTCACAGAGGTTTGGACTCATTTGATTTGACTTCAAAATTGCAAAGTTAAGGGTCTAGACTAGACAACTGGCACGGATTTTCTGCATTGCCAATGACAACAGACGGGCATCCTCAAAGAGAGTCATTCCTCTCTGCTGAACACTGGAGTCACTAAGAACTGGCTTAGGTAACGTGCTTTGACGTCAAAGAAAAATCCTGCACTCCGTGCCAGGTTCTCTCCTTGAAACCCATTACAAGCAACTGAGAAAGCAGCAAGAACTGCCCTTGTCCTTACCATCAGGATCACCTTACTGGATAAACAGCTTTTGGAATCACTGCTCTCGCTGCCCTGTCTTATTTCAGAAGAAAAAGGCCTAATTTCTTTTAAAAAATTGTTTAAATGCAACCCAGACAATGTGCTTGTAGCATTCCAGGCCTACCTACCAACTGGATTCCAAAGCACTCTTCCTTTTTAAAATCACAGTTTGACACCGCCAGAGGCAGCATTTCCAACAAGTCAAGCAAGAGCCACCACTTTGGCCTGATGGCACAGCCTGCCCTTGTCAAATCAACAGGAGATGTCACCCCCTCAAAACCACGCTGCTCCGTTGAGACATGCCTGTTCTTTCCCAGTAAGCTTGTTTGTAAAGTTCCTTCCATGTTATTCAGATAAAGCACTTCAGAGGAAACACAGAGAGGGAAGTAAATAATTAGTGGTGCATCAGATTTACCCATCTCAGTATTCTGACTTGGATACCTCCCAGTGATCCCATCAGATGAATGCAGTGGTTGTAGCTCATTGTTACTGGCAATGGCTAAACCCATAACCATGAAGCAACTCAGTGGGAAGTTTACTTGCACCTGGATTTCTTGAACAGCTTCATTAACTGCTTGAATCTTTCTGAAACCTAACAGAGGACAAAAAAAAGATATTATCATTAAGGTTCCAGATTTCCAAACCTATCAAGACAGACTGATCTGACAGCATAAAGTTGTTTTTTTTAAAGGAACGCTATTTTGCTTTTTCTTTGCTTCCAGTAAATTTCAGTGGGAGAATTTTAGGAGCACCATTAACAGATTAATTGAATGTAGGAAGTCTTCCTATACCTCTGAAATCTGAAATAGTGTCCAGATTAATCACAAAGAGCTAGAGGCAACTACTGGTTTAACACAGGTTTCCTTACAAGGAGGAAAAACTGAAGGCTTCAAAGTCAACCAGACTTGAATTCTGCCAGGTATAACTCTGCGTAAGACTCAAATGTAAGGACAAAAACTTATTTTGTCCTCCACAAAAAGCACAGTATATTGGTTATCTTCTACCCTCTTGTACAACTGTTGCTTCAGGTATTTATGGCTCACCATGGAGCAACCTGCCTATGAGAGATTTTACAAAGTTGGTCTGTAGATGAGAGTCAAACATATTTTTGTTGAGCGTGGCTACGGTTTACACAGTGACCTCACTCAACTCTAAGTTAGTATTTCTAATCACTATATGCGCATTTTGCTAGAGCATGTCTGCCATCAACCAAATAGCTAACCAGGAAGAGTGGCATAAATGCACAGATACACCTGACAGCACCCACCTGATTTGGGCTTTTGTTCAGCCTAGTGGCTAAGGAAACAAAAGTTTTGCTTGACGGTCCTTTTCTCTGACATTCCAGTAAAATTTCTCGGTCGTCGTTTCTATAGCAAAAACGCATTTAAAAAAATATTAATACGTATATATATGTACATGAACACAAACAAAAAAATGCATATAAAAATTCAGAGTATTTCCAAACTACAGAACATAAGTTCAGATGGTAGCAATGAACTTACAGAGGATCCTCTCCTCTAGCAGCACAGAGTAAGACAGTAAAAACAAGCAGTAGCGGAGATTATGCTGTCCAATTAGGAAGAGCAGGATTATTACAGTAGAGTTAGCCCCAAACCAAAGTCATCGAAAACAGACATTTAAACCTGAATTGAAACTAACTAATAAATTCAATGGGGGCCAGTAGTCCTGGGGGGATTTGCCTCAGCTTGCATGGTCAGGCAGCAGCTTTTACCTAAGGCCCACTCATGTTCAAAGATTAAACAGAGGTGTCTGACTTCTCTAAGTGGCTTAATATAACACACTCCAGGCATATCTACTGTTCACACGAGAATAAAGAAGCAGAAGCCTATTCTTCAGTGTGTCACTGATGTGTTGCTGGTCTCGTAATGAATTTAGGTATATGTACAATGTACAGTCATTGCACAGTAGCTACTATGTATCTTTGGTTGAAAGCAGCCATATTCCAATAAATTATATCTCTTATTTCCTCAGTTTCAAAGAAAAATGTAACGAATATTTAATCAAACTTCCTTTTTAAGGAATAGTTCAAAGATGGACAAAGACTGTCACCCAGAAAACCTAGTCATATTCATAGGGGAAACTCTAAAAATCTCTTCCTATCTCCTTGGTTTGCACTTTAAAAATTGTATTAGCTTTCACTGTCTTTTTTCCATGAAGGAGTTTATTTTATTTTAAAATGCAGCCTAGAAACTTATTTATATCAGAGCTAGAGTTCAGAAAGGTCTGAAAATTTTAGAAGCCCCTTCATGAAGTATTGATTGTACCAAGTTGCAGCAAGAACAGCAAAGCCTGTTAACTACAGTTTCTTAAGGATAAGAACATACAACAATAACTTTGCATGTATCTTTGACACATGCAGTCACCCCATTTGTCACCCACATCCTTCAAACTGGAATACAGGGGCTGAACACTTGACTAGCACATTTCTGCAGATTAAGCAGCATAGAGTGGGAGATGTCTCTGTTCAGGGTAAAGGGGTTGGAAATCAATGATCTTTAAGGTCTCTTCCAACCCAAACCACCCCATGATTCTATGATGAACCCAAAACAGAAAACTGTTTGCTTTCATGCCTTCTCCCAGTGGGGAAAATCTTTAGGTGCCCTCCTTTACCCAGTCATTAATGCTTCCAGGCCTTGTAGGAACATCAAAGACTTCCATCCCCTACCAAGCCTGGCTGGAATTTCTGGACAGGAAACAGGCAGGGGAAACAAAAATTACAGCCCGTGGAATATAGCAGGTCTTGCTACCTCAGCCTATAAGCTTTGAAAACAAAAATCACTCACTTCGGGAAATCTGGGTAAGCAAATGGAATTAGTTATGATGTATGGGAAGCCACCTTCTTTAAGGCAAATCTGATTTAACCTACCCAAGAACGGCTAAAAAACGTTCTCTTCCAAAAGCTGCTAGCAGGCTTACATGAAATCAGTTCACCTCTTAAATTTGTTTTCTGCTGGACAACTGTTAGAGAAAAAGGATAAGATAGACTTTGGCACCTTTCACTGGTACTCTTAAGAGTAAACATCAACCTCATAAAGCCATCTTGCATAGATAGAAGGAGGCTCTCAGTCCATGACTTAAAGAAGGACGTGGAGCTACTGAATAACTTCAATCATCAGCTAAACAGACTTTGCTTCCCACTTTTCAGTATACCTCATAGCTTAAAAACACCTAAAACAATCAAACAGATCAAATCAGAAATTACCTCGTCCAGGAAACTACTACTTCTCCCTTCTTTTTAATAATGTTTTTGGCATACAGGCTAGGTGATGATGCAGATGAAGCCAAAGGCAAAGAGTCTTTGTTCTGCTGCAGCTCATTCATCTTGCTGGAACATTGTTTGGGTGTTGAATTTACCTCTTCAGACTTCACATCACTCGCTTCACTCCCTTCACCTGCTGACACAGTTTCTTCCCGTTGCTTTTTTGAGTTGCAATTCTCTCCAACAGCCTCCATTTTCCTTTTTCTGCTAGTTTTATCATCTATACTTATTTGGCATCCTGTATCAGTATTTGAAGTGGATTTTGTTTCAAGACTGCATTCACCTGCTACAGTCTCATTGGAAAGCTCTTCCGTTAAGTCTATAAACGCATCTGTGCACTCTTTCGGTTCTTCCTTTTTATCACCGATTTCCGAGTTTCCTGTAGAGGTTTCCCGAGTCTCATTACCTGCAGTGGATTCCACTCCACAACAGGGCATTTCACTCACAATATCATCTGTTAAGTCTATGTACGACTCAATACCGCATCCAATAAAAGAAGCTTGAGACCCAACACCGGTTTCATTTATGTTTTCAGAAACTTTCAATTTGTGCACCTGAGATTGCTCAGAGTCTTCATCTAGGCTTTCGTTGTCATGGCTCTCTGTGTTTGAAGATTTTCTACAGGGTCCAAGCAACCCACTAGTTTCTTCCTTCCCAATGCTACTATGAGACTCCTTCAGAGGTAAGGCAGGACTTTGTTCTTGTCCAGTGCTGACATGAGACAACTCATCAGTTTTACCCATATCTGGTTTGACAGTTTCTTGCACAGTGGCCGCTGTGGCATTATGGCTGCCCTTTCCTTTTTCCCCATTTCTCACTTCTTTTTCGATCTTGTTCGAGGATGTCCGTGCCTCCTTCGCTGAAGCCACGTGATCTGGTGCTGCCGAGGCAGACGGCACCGCACGCCTAATCTTCACAATAAAATGATCGTTGGATTTCTCCATGATTACTGCTTGCATTGGTAGGCTGGGACGACACTGAAAACCGGGAGCGACAGGACGACTTGTCCACGATGAAGAGCAACTTGATTTACTGCTTGAGTTATCAGATTCTAAAGCCAAGTGGATGTCTTGTTCAGTGGCATCCTCCTCTTCGAGAAGTGCATCTTCGCTGTAATGTGCACTGAGAACACCCTCGGGAGTTGAGCTAGAATTATTCTCAGGTTTTAGAAAGCTGAGGTGAGCATCTGATTTCAGAGGTGATGGAATAGTTAAGGAAACGGCCAAATCTTCAAGGAGGATAGAAGAAACCAACGATTTACTCTTTTGTGAACTGCACTCGTCATCTTTGCATGAAGCTGCATTTGTAGGCACCTCAAACATACAGCTTTCGTCGAGTACATCTGGATCCACAGGCATCTGAAGCCTGGAGGCTAAAGAGGGAGCTCTTACCGGTGAAACAGTGGGACAGTTTATATCCTCTACTGGTCGAGATTGCACACAAGCCTCATTCGGAGCAAGCTCTTGCACCAGCCCAGCAGCATTACCTCTGCATTTATGACTGTCTAAAACCTGTTTTTCTGGAGTCCTGAATTCCCACTCGTTTCTATCAATATTGCCACCGTTTTTTTCCAAGAGATCAGAACCTTGCAACAAGCTCTTGAAGATTTCACCCATTTGAGCATCGCTCACAAGATTAAACGTCAGACTGGACGCTTGTTGCTCTGTGAGAAGCTCGTAACTAAGATCAGACTTGTTAGCATCTCTGGACAGCTGGAATCCTTCCTTGTCATATTTTACACCTTTCAACGGTGTGAGAGTGCCTTGTGAATTACTTTCTTTAGAGAGATGCACTTTGGTTTGGGAATTCCTCGTATTATCAATGGAGTTAAGACATTTTGTAAAGGTGTTTTTTGGTGCATCTGTTTTATTTTTCTCGTGGTGACACTTATGTCGTTGATAACCCACAATCTGCCTGGAAAGGATATACTCTTCAGGCTTCTGAGATCTGGCTTTCAGGGACTTTTTTCTAGATCTTCGCACATCATTTTTATGACCTATTTTGTGTTTTGGCTTTCCTGCTCTTTCAAATTTCCCTTCCTCACTCTCATTTGCCACATTTCTCACATCACATAGTTTTATTATAGTTCTCCTTATCTTGTCGAATAAGTAATCAAGCTGTTCATCTACAAATTTCCATAACTGTTTTTTCATGTCTGATACTTGTTGTTCAAAAAGACGGTCCACTATTGCATTCTTTTTAACTTGCTTAAGTTTGGACTCTATAACATCACAGATGTTCAATTTTAATGTGTCACCTAATGTAGACATCTTGGAAAAATTCAAGTATTTTATTAATGATGTAAAATTTATGATACCAGATTCTATAATTCTGTGAAAATTCTGAACAGGGAAGTGCACCTTGAACTTCATGTAGTTTTTCCTCATCTGTTTTCGAACAGCTCTTAGCATCTGCATGACTTCCTGTACATTTGAAGGTTCAACAATAACGTGAACTATTTTTTCAAGATAAGCAATGCTCACAGTTTTATTTTTCTTCATATCCTTTGAAGATCTGAAATTCTGACTTTTATGCCTCTCTCTGTTCTTCGTACTTACTTTCACAGAAACAAATTTTCCGTTATCTTCGTTGCAATACACAGTTTTGCTCTTTTGGTTCTGTGGACTGCTGGTCAAATTTCGCGTCTCGGGCAAAGCTTTTGGTCTCGAGTTTTTTGTATTTTCAGAGTCTCTTTCTAGCTTAGATTTTTCTGCATCATCATCGCTGCTTATGATTTCTCCTTCTTCTATTTCATCTGAGGAGATGCTCAGCTGGGACTCCATCTCTAAGTGCTCATCAGACATGCTAACTGGCTTTTGATTTTCCTTGTTTACCTCCTTCGACAAATTCTTTGAGGGACAGACGACAACAGCACTTTCAGGAATTAGATCTACAAAAATAAAACAGTTTAGTGAACACCAGGAAGAATGTAATTATAAACAGACATTTTCAGAAAAACCTGGAAGAGTCTGACCGCAAACAACAACTCAGGAAGTTTAAGCTATAACAAGCTTGGGTGGTTTCCTTCAGCAGCTGCTCGTTTAATTGATTTTTCTGAGCGTCAAATGGCAAATAAGACTTCAACATTTCACCAAATGCATGTGACCTGTCTCACAAATATACCCAGTGAAACCAGAAAAAATCCAACAGTTTCCATTGGTTATGAACTTCTTTCCATTTACTCTTAACAAGTTTTCTGAACATTGCACAAGCTAAAATTTAAAATCATTATGAATTAACATTTACATACAATAACCAGCTTTGCTTTTAATGGTTTCACAACAAAAATAAGAACTAATGGCATTTAACTATCTCTTCAAGCCTTTCAATAAACTGACTTACTAAACGGAGTAGTAGACACCACACACCTGATAAAATTGCTATTTCAGTTTTTGATGCATTTAAGATGACCAGCACTGTAACTAAACACAACAGCATAAAAAAAAATATCTTAAAAATTGGAAGAAAGTCTTCAGCTCAGTTTCCTGAATGACAGGAATGTGAGACAAAAGGCTAAGTTCTGCAAAATGCAGCGTGCCTTACTTTGCCTCACAAATACGTTCATTAAATGTTTTTTTTTCATTTTTGGGGGGCTATAATTAAATATGTATTTAATTGTTATTTAAAATTAAAATCAAATGTTATATTGTTAAGAAAAATATGCAGTTATAGTTAGCTATAAAGTAGTGTGTTACAGGAGATGAAAAGGCAAGCTCATTTCCATTGTACAAAAATTCCACTGAAGTGCATATGTATCGACTAATGAGGTTTGCAGTTAATTTTAGGCTTGCTGGGCACTCTAGTTAATAAAACACTCTTATGTTCAATCACACATAGATTAGACTGCTTAATGACCTCTAACGAACATTTTAATCTCATAAAAGATCATATCTAAATTGATCTCTGTAAAAAATAAACTTAGGATGAATGCTTCAAAGTAGTATGCAAAAATATTTACATAGATTCTACAAGAGCAAAACCATATCCCATCACTGCCTCTTTCAGTTTTACAAGGATTAAGACCTTCTCAAAACTAAGCACTGCAATATTTTGACACACCAAAACAGAAAATGGAAGTGGTCAAAATAAAGAATTAGTATATACACCCCTGTCCTGCAGAACAGTAGAAAGGTGAGTGCTCCATTTCAAAGCAAAGAAAGACCTAAATCCTCCCGTCAATTTAACAGACGTAGAACATGTGGCACGCCTATCACAAGTCAGATCATAAAGACCACTCAGCATCTAACTTCAGAGCTGAAAATCACTGCTTTGGGATTCAGTAGCAAGTTCCAGACAGGATGGATTTCACTAATAAGTAACTCAGGGAAACACTACAAAATCAGAAAAATACTTTTATTTGATATTCATCTACTCTAATCCCAAAGCTGTCATATCCCTCCACTATCAATATTTCAAAGACTACAAGCTATCATAGAAATGAAATATAAACTGGTGTAGGAATTCACACTTAGGAGAGTAGTTTTCTCAAGCACAAGAGACAGAATTGCAGAGTAAACCACACTAAGATTTGCAAAAGAATATAAGGATTATGCTCTGGAACATAAGAAAAAACATTTAAATGTCACTCTATCATTCCTCTTCTAGTAGGAAATCTGAACTTTCAAGAAAACTTACTAGCTGCAGCAGAACATTGCAAGAAGAATTAAATTCACACAAGCAATATATATAAAATTTGGGTGACCTATTTTCTCTTCTTGCCAGGGAGATAGAACACACTGACAGCCCTCATATTTTATTTAAGAGTTAGCTCTTACTTCATTAATGATAAAACCCAACATTCTATTTGTTCTACTTCTTTCCTCACTGACTGACTCACAATTATAAAATATATATATGAAAATTCACACTGACATCAATTCAGATGAAGAGCACACCCTTCTCTTAACTGGCATTCCTAGAAATTAAGTCTCAGGTACTCTCTCTAGCTTTCTTACAAATAAATACTTCCAAGACTATGATCCTGAGTAACTTTTGTCTCTACAATTCCAGAAATACCTAATGAGTTCTACTCAGAACTAACCATAACTAAGAAACCTCTATGTATTTTTTTTAGAAGTCAGAGCACAACTCTTGTTTCCACCACTCATCTGTCAGTAGTGACAAATTCCAAATTTTATAGCATTGATGTTTAACCGGCTACAATCTTTGCTGCACTGTTAAATGCTTCTGCTACAAACAAGTAGGGACTTTGACAGCTAAGAAGAAACAGTTCATATTTTTGAGAAAGCAGTTGAAGTCATTTCTGCTTTCCATGACTGGATCTTCTACACCTTTATGCAAAAAAGAAATTAGAACACACATACAGAAATACCTTTGTTATAACTCTTCACGAGGCCTTTGCAGGGACTTTCCATCTTAAGTGCTTTAGCCAAGGGGCGCATCGGGCTGTTCAGAGGGCTGATCGCCTTCGGAATATACCTCAAGTGATTGAGGTCAATGCTCAGTATTGAGCTGTCATCATCAACGGGAACTGGATTACTTTCTCTGTCTTTAGTTGGGGGATACATCTCACCACTAAGAGAAGACGCTGCAGTACCGATTTCAGTTAGGTCTGGCTCCAGGTCACAAGCATTTTGGTCAACTAGTGGTTCATCCTTATCAGTTAACACAGCTCTGTCAAGTTGAGACGTACTTGTATTAATATCACAGACATCCTTTTCCTCAATGGGACATTCAACATTTTCTGCAGCCAAGTGATCACTGTCCTTTAATATTTCCATCAGAGAGTCTGGTTTTGTTTCGCTAGCACCACATGTGACATCACATGACTCCAAGTCACCAGAGCTTTTGGCTTCTAAATCATGTAACACAAGGTTTTGAGAGCCACGTTGGTCTGCAGAGCCTTCTACGTCAGCAGCCAGACATATTTTATCTTCCTCTTTCTTATCTGCTGCTGACTCTGGAAGGGCTCCTGTACTTTCACTGGCAGGTTCAGCCTGTGCCACTGCTGCTGCCGCCGGTACATTGTCATCCTGCATCACACCCACAGTCACAGGCAAGTTTTCACACTCTGCCATGCTCCCTGTCACCTCCTGGGGCAAAGATTCAGGGTTATTCAGATCTGCCACTGTTGCTGCTGCTGAGGCTTCTGGCTGCACCAGATCACAAGACTCTGCTGCTTCGGAGGCTTCTGACTGAAACAGATCACAAACCTCTGCTGCTTCTGATGACACTTCTGGCTCCATCTCCTGAGGACCCAGCATCTCTGCTGCCCCTGGCAAGGCTTGGGGCTGTACTTGACCCTCTTCTGCTTCTGGTAAGGTCTCTGAGCTCAGTTCTTCAGTTGCCACTGCTGGCAATCCTTCAGACCCAGACCGGGCTGGATCTGCTGCTGCTGCTGCTTCCAAGGTTTCGTTTTCAGAGTGGACAGCGAGGGGCAGCAGTGCTGGTTGCACGTCGCTTTTTGCTATGCTGTCCAGAACCCGTAATGCTGGGTTCATTTGCTCTGTGGGACCACAGTTAAGTGGGTGGGCAGAACCCAATAGCTCTGCCTGCAGCGTGAACTCTGGGCTTTCCTCCTCAGCAGCTCTTTGGGAAGGTGTCTGAAGTCCATCCGTTGGAGAGAGACACTGCTTCTTAGCAGGAGAAAGAGTTAGATTCAGCTTTTCCATAAAGCTAAGTTTCAAGTCTTTGCTTGTTGTCCCAGTGTGATCACCTTTAGTTTTGGGAACTTTATGGTCTTTTACGTTATCTGCTACTCTGGGTGTTTCTTCTAGCTTACAGGACTTGTTTCTCTCACTTTTTGTAATATCTGTGTCTTTCTTGGATTCTTTTGCAGATCGGTGAGAAATCTCTTTTGCAACCTTTTTTACATTTCTAAAGTGTCTATTTTCATCCTGATTATCTCTTTCTCTTTTCCTTTTTTCTTCAGTTCTGTGTCTTTCTGATTTGGAATGTGCTGTTTCCCATTCGTATCTACTACTATTTTCCTTTAAGCGTGCGTATTTATGCTCTCTGCTGTTGGAATTAGAAGGTGAAGCATGATCGTTTGTTCCCCTGTCCCTCTTGCAGTCAATGTCTTTTGCTTTTCTAGACTCTTCCACCCGACATCTATGTGATTCATGAAGACTCCTTGAATGTTCATTCTTTGAGTGTGGACTACTCCCCCTACCAGACCTCCTTGATTGCTCTTGTAGCTTTTCATTTGGTTTAGCTTTTTGGCCAGCGCTTTTATCCTCTTTATCATGCGTTTTAAGATCTTTTTTTAACGCATTTTGTAATCGTTCCTCAGCGTAGAGCTCAGCTCTAGTTCTCTGGCCAGCGTTTTTATCCTCTTTATCATGTGTTTTAAGGTCTTTTTTTAACGCATTTTGCGATCTCTTGTCAGCATAGAGTTCACCTCTAGTCTTCTGGCCATCGTTTTTATCTTCTTTATCATATGTTTTAAGATCTTTTTTTAACACATTTTGTAATCTCTCATTAGCATAGAGCTCACCTCTAGCTCTCTGCCCAGTATTTTTATCCTCTTTATCATGTGTTTTAAGGTCTTTTATTAATGCATTTTGCGATCTTTCATCAGCATAGAGTTCAGCTCTAGTCTTCTGGCCGGTGCTTTTATCTTCTTTATCATGTGCTTTAAGGTCTTTTTTAAATGCATTTTGCGATCTTTCATCAGCATAGAGTTCAGCTCTATTTTTCTGGCCAGTGTTTTTATCTTCATCATGTGTTTTAACGTCATTTTTTAACGCATTTTGTGATCTCTCATCAGTATAGAGTTCAGCTCGAGTTTTCTGGACAGCACTTTTTTCTTCTTTATCATGTGTTTTAACATCTTTTTTTAATGCATTTTGCGATCTTTCATCAGCATAGAGTTCAGCTCTTGTTTGTAATCTGTCTTTACTGGTAGTTTGTTTCTCCCAGGAAGTAAGGCCCCTTTCTACTCTTCTTTCTACATTTGGACTGCATTTGAGTTTTACACTCTGACTTTTTTGCTGCAACTCACTTTTATCAGCCTTCTCTGACAGGGTTTTCAGCTTTTGCTGAGGATCTGAATTCCCCTCTTCACTGTCACCACTGTTTCCAGTGCTCTGATGCACTTCTCTTTTGTATTTGTTGACACTTCCTCCACTGTACTGTTCATTATTTCTAATTTCTTTTCGTTCCCTCCTGCTATCCTTGCTGGAACCATGGTCATAGTTCGGTAGACACGTGGGAGTGCCATCATTGCAGAGCATTTCGGGAGGGTATTTCAGTAAATATGGAGTGCTTCTTTTTTCAGAGCCAGACTTCCCATTGTCTGTATTACGAGATGAGTAACTGTGGTATGGATCTTTCGAACAGTCATTTTTCATTTTATGCTCCATCTTTATACTGTCAACTGAATTGGAAGATCTGAATTTGGAATCTTTCGTTTTACACATCTCGGAGCACCTGCCATTAGTTGATCCTGGAAGGTACGTCCTGTTGAAACTACTTCGATGACTGGGAAATTCTGAGAGCCTGTTCCAAAAAAAAAAAAAAAGTTATGTTATTTTAAAATTTATTTAAACAAAACAAAAGTCAAATCGCAACGAATCCGCACGTCTCTAAAATTTTTCATGCTTTCTTTCAGCTTCAAGTTGAAAAAAATGTGGGATAAACCCCAGAATATTTAATAATTTCCACTAGCACAAAGCTAAGGAGTAAGATGCATACATATTTTCCAAATTCAACTACACAAAAAGCAAGATCTATGGAAAAATACTGTATTTGGTCTAATTAACAATTTCAGTAATACAAATTAGTATTTTATTACCCAGCAATAAGGAGCCTTCCCCCAGGAAAAAAAAGAAGTTGTTCTTTACAGCATCAGTGATTAAAAAAAATGAAAATAAAAAGATTAATTTAGTAGTTTACTATTTGGTAAACTGACAACCAAAGTAATAGGTATAATGTGACTGTGCTTACTCTACCCATTAAGTAAATAAACTACCATTTTTGGAAACTTGCTGCAAGCTACAGAAAACAAGTACAAAATTACAATAATCAAGCCTCATCAAGATAAATGCTAATAATAATCATAATTAAAAAAATAAATTAAAAAGGGCACACATGGTCTGTATGGCTTGAACTCTTATTCACTGCTAACAGAATTAAAAAAAAAAATCACAAACAAACAGAAGAAACACACTTTTCTGCCTTATTCAACAAAATATTTCATTAAAATGACATGACTGAAGACAACGGCAACCCTCTCCACCATCTAAAAAGAATGATTGTGTCTAATCCGCACAGACAGTAACAGAACTAAAGGTCACAGCAACAAATGATGGCAGCAAATGACCAAATGTATGGCTCCTTCTTGGGAGTCAAGGATGAGGTGGCTGCTACACAGACACTTGATTTTGGCCCAAAATTCTATGCTGATTCAGTGTTCAGTTGTAAGGAAATCAGATCAAGTGTGGAATAATCCTTTCCTTATCTCCAGTGCAATATGGAGTTGGCTTTGTTTTACATAACTGAACACTGCCTATGGGTCAATACAGTAAATTTAAATACGTAATGATCAGGTTATACAACTGGCTCTACTCCAAAAATGTGACACTGTGATGTGAACTCTGAACTAAAACAAAGCTGCAGCTGTTTTAATCCAAAACCCTCTCCTATATTCCTGTTTAATTTTGAACTGTACTGACAAGTTTTTGCCATGCTTTAGGCTGGCTATTAAATCCACATACATGTGTGATGAGTGCAACTGTATCCAAGCCAGGGTTTGAGGTTTTTTCATTTTGTTTTGACAAAGTGTGCTTCTAAGACCTCAAAGTGCCACATTCCCTACAATTTTCCATGGATGGGTCCAAAATACCTAGATCAAGTACCCTGTACATGACTTATCATCACTATCAGAAGGTATGGCAACAGACTTTGTAAACTCTTTAATGAAGCTGAGTATCCAAACCAAGAAAATATTTTTCAAATAATTTAATTTAAACCCCAGAATACTACACTCAAAGGTGTGAAAATGACAGCTCTTGTGTCAAAGCTGATCAAATGAAAGAATTACACATGGTAAAACTTCTTGACTTCTGTCAGATCATGTCTGCTATTTTTCTATATTTAGAAAAAAAAACCAACCCAACCTGCATAGTAAATATGCATTTAGCCTCTAGCACAGTAATGTCAGATGAACCTTCTTTATGACACCTTTCGGTACAGGAAAATATCAAATGGTCAAACTGAAACACAAAAAAACCCGATGATATGGCTGATGTCATGCAAGTGACAAGCAGGTGATCGTGTCATAAGGTCCTGAATGATGGACCCCTGCTCTGGTTTCAAGTGGTTCAAAAACCTCACACTCAGCTGCTCTCCCATTGTACCTGAAAATTTTCAACTCCTTGCAATACGATTAGTAGTACGCAGAAATTATGAAGAATTCCCTAGCTGCTCTTCCCCACCGTTGGAGACAGGGCTTTCATTTTTTCTTAACTAGTTTTACTTAAAATACACACAAAATTTTTCAAGTATATAAACATGATCAGACAACAAGTATGCCTTCAGTTCTACTGTCTAGCGGTACCTTTGATGGAGATTACTGATTTCTTCATCCTTACGGTTTATTTCCACTCTTGCTGTTTTGATAAGTGCTGAAATATTCTTTTTGAGAGCCTGGTTTTCATTCTGTAGAATGACATTCTATTTTAAATGTATATAAAAAAGAGAGCAAGAGAAAGGAAAAATGAAAGTTAGCTTGAGTATCCAAACATGTAATGAAAAACAGTGCAAGACAATCATTAGAAAAAGTCCCATCACGTGCAAACTGACAGTACAACACACAGGAACTGTTTTGGAGAAGCCATAGAATGCGTTGGGTTGGAAGGGACCTTTAAAGGTCATCTAGTCCAAACCCTCTGCACTGAGCAGGGACATCGTTAACTACATCAGGTTGCTCAGAGCCCCATCAAGCCTGACCCTGAATGTCTCCAGGGATGGAGCCACCACCACCTCTCCAGGCAACTTGTTCCAGTGTTCCACCACCCTCACTGTACAGAATGTTTTCCTAACATCTAATCTAAATCTACCCTACTCCATTAAGCCAGAATAATTGAGATCAAAAGGAGCAGAGCAGATGTTCTTTTTAAAACATCAATCACATTTTGGCTCCTGTTTGCATTCCTAGTAATTAAGATGTTTTAAGCATACAGTATATTAAAACTGAAATACACAACAAGCGAAGTAATCATAGAGCTAAAAAACAATAATCCACCCCTTTGCTTCATTCTTTTACACAATTTCTTGCTTTCTTGGTAACTGTGTCAAATAAGAGACGTAGCTTTTAAGCACTTTAAGAAAAAGAAGGTAATTCTATTTCTGTCAGGGTATCAAAGTCAATTTTGGGTGCTCTGTAGTTCTAACACTTTTAGATCTAATGTTCTGGAATCCTATCTGTCAATCCTAGGGAGAGCCCTTTCTCTTCATAACTGTTGCCAGCAAAGCCTGCTCAGAAAGGCAGACAAGTTTCGCAGAAAACAATGCAGAAGTGTCACAGGACAGCAGCTGCTTCCCATGGCAAAGCACAGAACCTTTGGGAGTTAACTGAAATAAACAGCAGAGTACGTTGCAGAATTGCCCGGGACAATCAAACTATACAGGGCTCAAAGCAACGCAGGCAACCTCTTCCAGTTCTAATGACAGCTCAAATGCAACCTCTCCCTCATGCATTAAAGACTCATTTTTTCAAAAAACCCTAACAGAACTGGATACCTTTCTGATAACTATTCATATGACATGCTTATTTTCTAATGACGATGACAGCTTTGAAGCACCTAAACTCTTACCGCACACAACGTCATGAAACGAGTGAATTTTGTCAGCTACTGATTTTGTCAGCAGGCTACCCTGCCAACTAACCCAGGCACAACAAGCTCCTGGCTCCTACAGACGTGCTTTACAAAACATCCATGCGATGGATCCCTTCTGGAAAACGTATGAAATTAACTCTCAGTCTGCTTTATGTAAGTTTTCACAATGTTGCTTTTGAGCTACAGTACCTGTGCCTGTATTTCCTTAAATTTCTTCATCAATTCTTTAATTTGCTGTTGACATTTTCTGTATTCTGCCTGCAACTGTTAAAGAGAGAAGAATTCATGGCACAGAAGTGGACTGAATTGCACAGAAAAGTTACTCCTCTAGATTTATAGTTAGTTGACATGGTGATGTTTATTGCAAAGTTGTGTTTTTTCCCCAAAAGTAAAATATAAAGCCACATTAAAACAAAAAGCTTCAATACACTCCAACAGGTATACAAGTCTCTAAAACATCACAGACACTCACATAAGAGTAAATCTATTCATACTTGCCCAACAGTAATACACTAGAGAGTAACATGGAGTCATATTATTGTGAAATTAAAGACACTATTACCGAGGAGCAGGAGTTCTCAGAGCTTTACAGATGGGGATTTGTTTGTCAGATTTTATATAATACAAAACAGACAAGGAAAAACACAACAAAAAGTTACTACAAACAAACCTGGACTGCAAAGGACATGCTCCTGTCGCGATCGCAAAATAAAATACATTTGTCATGAGGCCTTACTTGAAAGTAAATGGTGAAAAAACTTTCACAGAAGAACAGACAACTCTCGTGCTGTCATATGTAAGAGTCAACTGCTTTCAAAGTGACATTTTCATCACTAAGTAGAATCATGGAGGTTTTGCTCCTGCTTCTTTTATAGTGCATTATAGCTCTAGATGTCTGTCCCTTTTACTCCAAAGCTCAAGTTAAAGTTAAGATGCATCTTATGGACCAGGATAGGTGATGCTAAATGAATAATCATTCTGCTGACTTGCTAGAGGCAGTTATCTACTGCACGGTTGTCTCAAGGACAAAATTTAATGATATGCAAGATTAATTCATGATCTACCTGCTTTAGTCTGTCAAAATTTGTTGGGAGAAATGATAAGACTAGCTTCACATCAGATGTCTGAACAGATATTTAACTAGAAGGAAATTATGGCACATTTTCCCGTAATGGAGCTGATATACAAACTGCATGCAAGGGATGTTAAATGAGAATAGGCCATGTCACAGAGTGAGAGATTCACTTATTCTGATAAACTTGTTGACATAACAATTTATTAGCATGCTCTTGGTTTTACTTATTTAAAACATTTCCCTATTTTTCAGATGACGTGACTATACTGACACTTCACACAAAAAAATTTGGAACAAAACCCCTTCAAAACACCAGGATTATTTCTGTCACTCAATACAAACCTCATTGTAGGATGCTTCCTTTGCAGTCCCTTCTTCAATCAAAATCTCATCAAATAAATTTAAGCTGTTTCCAGACGGTGTAGAATTCGGAGCAGAATTGTCTGTATAAAGAAAAATAAATTACATAAAGAATAAAGGTATTTTTCTAGGCAGGCTACATTGTGGTACTGAGGAAAACACAGGACCTCATCTGGAGAAATCCTTATCCTAATTTTCCACATTTACCTTAGTTTTACTGGAAAAACTTGGTCCAATTTACATGTAAATAAAAGGTAACAACGAAAATTAAAGTTCAACTGAAAACAATGTGTTTGAAGAAATGAGATATACAGGATACCCAGCAACAAAGATGAGTGCATTTTATGACTGTCTCATAAGTTGTTTTAAGTCAAGGAGAACTAACTCACAGTAGCAAGAATGGCTACACCTTAGCACCGATCTGAGGTTCTGCAATTCCACAGCCAATATATAGCAAAAAGCTAAAAGAAATATGTGCATCCTACAACTCACTCAGCTTCTGGCCAGACTTCACCTTTGAAACATTAGCAGTTGAAAAAAATACACGAGAAAAAGAATACTTGGATGTTAGTGACCTACACAAACATGGATCAGCTGATCAGAATCAAATACAGTTTCTGCAGAGTTGGGACAGAGCTGAAAACCCTGCTGCTTGTGTTGAATAAATGCTCGTTGCTCTTCTTTGGACAACACCATAATGCAAAGAGTATTACTAACACAATGCAAGATGTCATACAAATAACATCTTACCTTATATAGAGCAAAACTCTCACCAGTCCTCTTCGCAAATTAAAAAAAAATCCCTTAGAACTAGACTGTAAAATATTTGTCTTGCATTAAGCTATTCCTCCTTACATATTTAATGTTTACTAAACAATGCATCTCAGTATGTGAAATAAAGACTTAGAGAATACTTGTATATGCTGTAACAAATACAAAATGGAAAAAAAAAAAAAGATGTATAGATGTTTTATGTTGGTAGGATATAGTATAATCCTTCCATAAAAATTCAATGGCCTTACAGTAGTAACGTCACTAGTGAAACACTTGTTTAAATACTAGAAACAGCATTTAATTAAACAGCACACTAGAACTCCTAGAAAATAATATGTGCTGGGTCTATTTCTTTCTTACTTTCAAGGAAGTGAAAAGAGGAAATTAATTTGTAAAATTGTTGAGAAGGTAACAAAATGTTAAAAGGATCTACTGAATGCACTGTATCATACAGGAAGTATGTTTTGGATCTCTTACTTGGGATTTAGTGATCAGTGACTGTTGGTTCTGGTCCTGAAGCTATTTAAAAAACACAAAATAAGAGTGTTTTTTCCAAGGTAAAAATCACAGAATTGCCTAGATTGGAAAAGACCTTTAAGATCATTGAGTCCAACCAGTAACCTAACACTGACAAGTCCTCGACTAAACCATGTCCCTAAGCACTATGACACCCGACTCTTAAACACCTCCAGGGATGGGGACTCCACCAGTGCCTTGGGCAACCCATTCCAACGCTTAACAACCCTTTCAGTGAAGAAAATCTTCCTAATATCCAACCTAAACCTCCCTTGATGCAACCTGAGGCCATTTCCTCTTGTCCTATCCCTTGCTACTCGGCTGAACAGGGTTGAACCTGGTTGAATAACCCCAGTTCCTTCAGTCGCTCCTCATACGACTTGTTCTCCAGACCCTTCACCAGCTTCGTTGCCCTTCTTTGGACAGGCTTCAGCACCTCAGTGTCCTTCTTGTAGTGAGGGGCCCAAAACTGGACACAGTACTCGTGATGTCGCCTCACCAGTGTCGAGTTCAGGGGGCCAATCACCTCCCTACTCCTGCTGGCCACACTATTCCTGATACAGGCCAGGATGCTGTTGGCCTTCTTGGCCACTGAGGCACACTGCTAAATGTCCTATGTCAAGGCACAGATAGAATAGTCAAGGTTTCTCTGCAACCCTTTACATGCAAAGTCTCTTAAAAAGAGCAGTGAAAACTACTACATGAAAACTATTTTATAATCATTCACCTAATAGATCTAAGAATTCTCTGCTGTATTTATAGAGTGTAACATATACAACCTGAATTTAAACAAGTAGCTCACTGAAGCATATGTTACACCAGCTAAATTTAAACTTCAAGCTAACTGTTGTGTTACTTGAAAACAGCCTAAAAAACACAGAGACTTTATGATGCTCCAAGCTAAGCAATAAGATAAAATCAACCTACCAGAAACTGGCAAACTGTTGTCCAAGTCATCATAAATATCCACTGAGCTCTCATCACCTTCCTTGAAGGAGGATGCTTCAGCTAAAGAAAAGAAAAATGCCAAAGTAAACATTTTGTATCCTCCACCCTCTAACTTTCCCATAGAGTAAGTGTAGCTGTAATTTTAGACCAGTAGAGAGTAGTAAAAGTAGTAACATCAACTAGTAAAAGACAGGTTTTTCCCAGCAAGCTCCTACTATGAAGAAAAGATCTTTAGTCACGAAGGAGCAAAGACAACCTTGAAAGATCAATTCCTAAATACCACAAGAACTGTGCATGAAGCAAATTATATACTTTATATTTTTAAAAATGTATTTATACTTCAACTAAGCAAATTTGATCTGAATTTGAAATTGTTTTCTAGATACACTGAATACAAAAGTTAAAACCCAGAAGCTCTAAAGAATTAGTATGACAAACGCACTATTTTCAAAAGAAACACTTACTGCTAAACAGAAAGTATTGTAATAGTCTACATCACAATTCAAAGAAATTGCTTTAGTATTGCCATCTATTCACACAATAATTGGTTCTGTGTATTTTTATCTAAATCTCAGTCTTTCTTCATGTCTTTTTCAAATGCCCCTTATCACTCTCATCTCTACATGAATCTCTCTAGTTCTGCAACAAATATTATTACTGTAAAGAAAAGCATCAATATCCACATTCCTTCTGAAGCTGGGAATCTCACAAATATATGTCAGATCAACAAACTGCAGAGCTGAAAATAATGTCAGAGTACCTTGATTGCTGCTACCATACCAGATGACAGCATATTTGCTCTTACAAATAGCAACCAAAGGAGCAATCCTCCTAACCATCCACACACAAGCTTCATTAGGATATACTGAAGGTTAAATTATACACCATTAAACTTGGGGAAGAGACCAGTTCCAAGCATCCCCTCAAAACATACTAGAAAACCAAAGTACACAGTTATGGTTTAAAATCCAAACTTACTAATGCGATATGGCCTACAGTGATACTGTGCTACAGCCATTTAATTATAGGCGAAGCTCATCAGTATTTGTCCAATTTAAATTGTTTCCATTTCGGTTTAGAAGTTATTTTTTGACCTATTTATTTCCATAAGACTGCTTGTGTTATTTCACCCCCAAAACAGAAAGCGATCTAACACATCTTACCACTGTAGCGGGTATCAAACAGTCCCAGTCCATCCTCGTCTGCTGCCATGATACAAACTCCCTATGGCTTCCCCATCTGTAAGTATAACGTCAGAAGAACAACAACAGATTAAATGACAATTTTGGGACAGTGTGGTAAAACAGAGGAATCTTGAAAAACGTCAGTTAAACCTGAGCTACTCGTGGCCCCTACTCTTCAACAAAATCCAACACTAGAATGAGGATAACTCTTGTATCGACATAACAGATGTAGGGATCTGTACAGATGAGTAGGAAAACGTTTGTCCTGTAAACAAGCGTTCCGAAGCTCTTCAGCTGTACCTTTTATTCACATACAGTAAATGAATACCAGATAACGAAATTACGGGATGAAAACAAGTATTCTATTAACAGCTTCTCAGTGTGTGTATCTTAAGCAGAGAAAACGCTCCCACTCGGTAACTCCGGCTCCTTCTCCACTGACCATGCAGGAGGAGGTTTTCGCCGGCTGACAACACCGGACAAACCAATAACGA